TTGGTGGGGCGGTCTCCAAAAACAATTTTTTTAGCCCTTCGGGCCTCAGTGTGGTCTAAAAACATGGGGCCCAGGCCCCTCCCCTGGATCCGCTACTGATTGTGCAAGCTGCAACCTTTTATTTCCTGTAATAAACTCACAGGCATCCCAAACTCAGTGTGTAAGAGCACATGTTAAAAACAAAAACATTTGGTTATATTGCATAGTCTAGTGATTTATAGGGTTCACATGGGAAACGTAGAAATCTGAAAACAAAAAACTGCCTTATGTAAGCTTTTAATATTGTGGAAATCGCTTTAAAAAGACACAAGGAAACGAAATGTAGCACGGGAAGTTTGTTTTAATTCCTTTCTCCACAATAAGCTAAGCTAAGGCAAATTTTCCTTAACCCATTCGCTCCTGGAGATTCTGACGAAAAACGCGTTGTGAAGCTAGTCGAGTGGTTTTCTGGTCACTGTCGTGCTATAAAGAGCTAAAACTTACCACAAACCGGTTTACAGATTGTACACTTCATGGCCTTCTGATCCAGATGCAAAAGATCAGCTTGCGAAGTTCGGGCATGCGCAGAAAGCAAAATTTCGACAGTTTTTGGGTTTAAAAGTGACACAGCAGTCTTGACTTTTACTTTTCGCTTTCTCTCCTCCCTTCTTTTTTCGCTTTTCTTGACTCATTTTTTTTTTCTCTTGCTGGGCATTTAGTAGGCTTGATTTTGGTGGGAAGAGTTTTTAGGAAAGCTTTTAGGATCTTAGGATTAGGTGAAAGGAAAGGTAGGTGGGCAATGGAACAAGATTTTCATGGAGATTTTCAGGTCAATGTTACATGGTTTTTTGCCTCTTTCTCCGGTGTCCTTGACTGAATTGTGCTCATTCTGGTATGGTTTGAAAGATCTCTTCACTCTGCACAAGTTAGCGGACAAAGTTGTCCTTTACCGTTAAAACTGATGACGTCACAAGGGGTAGAAAAGATGTGGATCCGCACGGGCGGTTACGGGCGGTTCAGGGGCGAATGGGTTAAACTTTTACATTTCCCATATGAAAAAGCCTATTAATCGACTGGGTTTTTCCACAAAAAGATCCACACTCCCCCAATGGATCCAGTCCCAATTTCTTGAGTGTATGTTAGTATCGCCTGTGAACCGCAGACGTATTTCCGGTCGTCGCTTCTCTCCCTCCAAAAAATAAAGCCAGAAAAACCGGATGGTCTCAAAGGCTAATGCCAGTAGTGTGGAAGTTTCACATTTGTTTTCATGTATTTTCAGGGGCCGTGGTGGCTCGCGGCTCAAGCTGTAGCGGATGTAGTGGTTTCACTACTCCTCCTCCTCTGCTGATCCAGGGGATGACACCATGCTTGAAGCCGATTGTGAATGTTAGATTCGCCAACAAACTTACCAGGCAGCAAAAAATATCATTACCTCTGTGTTATCTAAGTTTACCTCGTGTTCCTTTTCTAACATGTTGAGTCTGTCTTTCTTTGATTAAAGAGAATTTTTCCTGTAATTATACTAATAGGGGGGGGGGGCATATTAGTTAGCTTTTCTACAATGAAATTATTCTTGAGGTCAATATCAGCTAGTCTTAGGAGTCACACATGAGGTCCCGATTGCAACAGAGTTTGAAACGTCTTTTCAGCTTAAGTACTTCTGCTTATTCTTCTTCTTCGTGAGTCGTTTTATCTTAACAAGTAGCTTTTTTATTTAGTCGAATAATGAAGAAATTAAAAGTCAACATAACACTTATTTTCATATGGAAAGATATGAAAATATATTATAACCCGTTTAGGAGACGGGAAAACACTAACAGAAGGTTTTAAAATGAAGGGTGACCCGTTGAATAGGTTAGCAAATGTGCCGGGACTATCATTCTTTAGTAAAATCCAACTAGTGGTCTATTATCAATGCTGTGTTCTGATTGGTTGAGCTACTACTAGGCCATATGTTATAGCCCACTAGTAGGGAAAAGCGCCGGCTTTGAAAACCAAAACAATGGCGGCTGAATTACGTTTTGCTAGCTAAAGTTGTTTTGTCTCGATATTTTTGACCAACTTGTTGGATTTTACTAAAAGAATTACTCCTCTCGCCCTCATGGCCTCTGAGTCAATAGCTAATCCGGCCTTTCAAATTGGCCCCATGGGCTATTGACTCAGAGCACAAGTTTGGGCTCGAGGAATAATTGTTAAATATGAACGTTAATTTAAGGGATCGGATCAAGGCTTTTTTAGGTTGAACATCTTCATATGCCTCAAGTTTCCAATGTAATCAGCTCCTCCCTAAATTATAAGACTTCTCAGAAGTCAGGGAGGGTGGAGACAAATGATAGCTACTTAGCAACAATATCGGAGGAAAAAACACAACCGAATGAATTCACACTCAATTCTACAATTGTATTGTATGGGGATAAAGAGAAGCACAGAAGAGATCCAAATGTATGCAGCCTGTAACAAAACTGGGACCTGTTTTTCGAAAGTCCCGGCAATTAACAGGCCTGGAAAGCTGTTGTTTACATTCAAAATAGATTTTTCAAAACTTTTGAAGATAACATGATTAAGCGATCCGTTGACAAGACAAAATAAACTGGTTTGTAAGCTAGGATACCCGCTTTTTGATTTTGGGCCATGAAAAATTACCGGGACCTTCGAAAAACGTGTCCCTGGTCGACTTTCATGTCTCTTATTAAAACTAAATATATTTTCGTGAAAAATATACACTTCTGGTTATATCTCTAATCACTTCCCCAAAAAAGCATTGCTAAACAATGTCTCTATATTTCTGACTAAATTAGGAAAAAATGGGAAGCTGGATCTTTTAAAATGGAACGATTAATAATTTCACAACTTACCGTAAATGATCGATTAAGTGCTGCTAAGCGCCGCGGCACTAATTCGAGTATTTACAAATTAACACCCCGCCTTTGTTACGGTGCTTGATATTAAGAGATATCAAAACCATATCTCTTGAGAAATAAGAAAGACCTCGACCAACTTGTGAGTTCTAAAGTTTTAACTAGGGAAACTCTAGAAACTGGGTTCATATAACACTTCGAGGTGTACATATTTTACACAAAATTGTGCATACCTTAACCTAATACGCACCTGACTTCATTCTCTCTATATTCCCCTCAGTGTTTTACCCGTAGTTGAATGAGTGCCGTTCTCGTATAAGCGCCATGGAGCTTAATCAGTCATTTACGATAATCAGTTTGATGTAGATGGACACAAAAACTTATTGTGGATCGAAAATTACTTTTCAAAAAACAATTAATAAAAAAAAATACCTGATCTGAACTAGTCATCAAATAGAAATGATTACATGTAAATCTAACAAGTAAGCTATCTATTATTATATTCTACCCTTAAAACCGTGTCAATATAAGTAACGTTTACTTTTATGAAATTATAATTATCTTTAAATATGCATTATTTGGTACCTTAGATATACTATAGTAATCAGAGTGTAGACTTGTGTTAAGTAAAATAAAACAAAAAGATTAGTGCAAGGTCAGCTTCATCATTTTTATCTGTGGGTTAGGTAATAGGGTAGAGAAATCAGACTTCATAAACTCATGAAATTGCCTAGACCAGACACTAAACAGAGCTAAATTTTCTACCATTTAAAAGCTAAATTTTCTATCATTTAAATCATATAAGGGTAATAATTGATTTTAGGGTGTTCATGAAATTAAATGTTGTACAAATATTAAAGATGTCTTCGTCAATACACAACTTCGTTATGGTCAAGATAATCCTCAAATTTCACGTGTCATAAAGGCTTCTGTGGTAGACCTTTCATTTACATTCACCATGGTCTAGCCTGTTCCAGGCTCTCAGATAGTAGGGATGGCACATGAGCTGGTGTAACTGTCCGGCTACAGAACCCCTACACAAGCCTTAGGGCCTGTTTACATGGATGTGGGGGACCCCAGGTAGGTCAGGTAGGTAACCCGCCTGCCCATATAATCTCTCACATGGTCACCCCACCCATCATGTAAATGTAATCAAATTAAAATGAGAGATTATATGGACAGGCAGGTTACCCCACCTAAGCAAGTTTTCTCACCTGGTAATTTGAAAATTGTAAAATCGACGCTGTTCAAATGATTCAATTTTACAATTTTCAAATTAACATTAGGTAACTACGTTGCACAGGGATTTTATTCTTTTTTACACAAGGTTACCTCACCTACTTAGGGTCCCACACCTCCATCTAAACAGGCCCTAAATGGTCAGTGTGAAAACCTTAGATAATACTGAATAACTTTTAGAGTTCATTCATCAGTGAGGGAAATTTATTAGAACCGTACATTCACCACTTTACAATGTGAAGAAAACTGGGTTGTGTTTCCCAAAGACTTGTGGGACTGCTAGCGGGGACAGGGAAAAAAATGGCGAACAGCTGACTGGTGCATACTGGTGTATCCAAAGGTAACTCTGCTCAGTAGCCTGAGTAGCCTGCGAGCCGCAGACGCATTTCCGGTCGTCGCTTCTCTCCCTCCGAAAAATAGCGTCTGCGAACCCGAGCGACAAAACGATTTCCGTGACGTAAAACCTTTTTAGCCAATCATTTTTTGGAGGGAGAGAAGCGACGACCGGAAATGCGTCTGCGGTTCGCAGGCTATAGCCTGAGAAAACAGACAACATTTCGCGACATCAGCAGCGATTTCCCCGTGAAAGGACATCTGAGAAACAAATGCAGAAATTCCATACTGATGATGCATCACTACCCAGATCTGGCTAGTGCTTCTGATTGGTCATGCTGCATGTGAAATTTGCCTCAACCAATCATAAGCACTACCCAGATCTGGGTGGTGGCGTGCTATCAGTATGGAATTTCTGCGCTTGTTTCTCAGACATTATTTCACGACGAAACCGTTGGTGACGTCGCAAAACGTTGTCTGTTTTCTCAGGCTATGCTCAGTTCCCCTCTCATTTTTTTAAAGTGGTAAATTTACCTATGTTAGCCAGAATTTCATGTCCTGCCAGGAGCACTTGACCTTCATGGCATAGTCTTACTCTAGGGTAAAAAGAATTTCAGGGAATTGCTCATTTGTCACTTTGTTGAATCTAAATGTTATTCCAGAACAATGGACATACTCCAAAGCATTCTCCCCACGCCATGAACATGAACCAGACAAGGAACTGGTGACCAGGTAATTAGTATCCTTCTCTAGAGTTACTGGTTCACCAAACAAGACGTTGATGCCATAGAACCCCACACTTTTGTACTGAAACAGTTGGGAATAAAAGGTTCCTGTTTTCTTGGCAAGCAATGTGTTTGTTGACACATCTTTGACCATCAAAGTAACTACATGTTGTTCAATGTTACAGCTAAAGATTCGGACACCCTGCATTTTGATGGGCTCATCGACAGACAGACACAGAGCATGTTCCTTTTCATGATCAGCTCCATATGCTCTCCAACCAAATTTCACAAGAGACCCAAATCTTTGGCAATGTTTGAGACCACCAGTTCTTTTGATGGTTAAAAATCCCCAGTAACCAGTTAAAACAGTAACCTGCGAGCAAGCTTTCCTATATGGGCAAGCGAAGTGAGCCTCGCGAGAACGCGCGAGCGAGGGGCCGAGGAAAGGAGAGCTTGCAACGATCTCTCATAAATTTTCATTTCCACTCCGGAAACCCCAGGACTCCGCAAAGCGTGAAAACTGTCACCGCAAACGTGCCGCAGATTAGAAAAGTGACAACCGCCTGTCACGCGTTCTCGCGAGACTCGTTTCACTCGCCCAAACAGGTATACAGTGCACGATTTGGGGACAACTGATTAAGGACACAAAGTTTGTGATCGCATCACCTGCTCACACAATCACTATACCTTATTAACTTGAATTTTTAGTAACGTCACCCCAATAGCATGCCGGTCTGTTCTACCATTCACTTATCATGTGAGGTGACACAAATTTGGTTCACGAATTCTAGTATCACTACAAGGCTTTAAAACACGCAGCGTCACAAGGCATCACAAGGTATCACAAAGTATCACAAAGTATCACAAGGTATCACAAAGTATCACAAGGCATCACAAAGTATCACAAGGTATCACAAAGTATCACAAGGCATCACAAAGTATCACAAGGTATCACAAAGTATCACAGAGTATCACAAGGTATCACAAGGTATCACAAAGTATCACAAGGCATCACAGACTATCACAAAGTATCACAAGGTATCACAAGGTATCACAAAGTATCACAAGGTATCACAAGGTATCACAAAGTATCACAGAGTATCACAAAGTATCACAAGGTATCACAAAGTATCACAAAGTATCACAAAGTATCACAAGGTATCACAAAGTATCACAGAGTATCACAAAGTATCACAAGGTATCACAAAGTATCACAGAGTATCACAAAGTATCACAAGGTATCACAAAGTATCACAAAGTATCACAAAGTATCACAAGGTATCACAAAGTATCACAAAGTATCACAGAGTATCACAAAGTATCACAAAGTATCACAAGGTATCACAAAGTATCACAAGGTATCACAAAGTATCACAAAGTATCACAGAGTATCACAAAGTATCACAAGGTATCACAAGGTATCACAAAGTATCACAAAGTATCACAAGGTATCACAGAGTATCACAAAGTATCACAAGAAATCACGGAGTATCAAAAGGTATCACAAGGTATCACAGAGTATCACAAGGTATCACAAAGTATCACAGAGTATCACAAGGTATCACAGAGTATCACAAGGTATCACAAGGTATCACAGAGTATCACAAGGTATCACAAGGTATCACAAGGTATCACAAAGTATCACAAGGTATCACAAAGTATCACAAAGCATCACAAAGTATCACAAAGTATCACAAGGTATCACAAGGTATCACAAAGTATCACAAAGTATCACAAGGTATCACAAAGTATCACAAGGTATCACAAGGCATCACAAGGTATCACAAGGCATCACAAAGTATTACAAGGTATCACAAGGTATCACAAAGTATCACAAAGTATCACAAGGTATCACAAAGTATCACAAGGTATCACAAGGTATCACAAGGTATCACAAGGCATCACAAGGTATCACAAAGGGAACTCACCTTTACCGTAGCGCTTTTATCTCACGGGAAAAACATTACATTCACTAACATTGCACTCTTTTGAGTGCGCAATTCAACTGAACAGAAACTAAACAAAGCAGTTTCTTTTTTCAAAATATTTGCATAAGATGTTTAACATTTCCGAAATCTGTTACGTCAATACAGGATGAGTTATGTAGCAAAACGATTCCTTTATATATTGTGACAAGGGTTTCACTACGAGATTGTGCTCTGTGCAAAAATCGGGGAAAAGACATTTTCTTATTACGCGTGCAATTATGGTGCATAAGCTCACCGTTTTGTTTGTTTGTTTGTTTTTGTTCTTTCTTGTTTGCATTTGACGATTCTCATTAAGATGTAATATGGGGTTGACAGGCCTACACGACTCCCCAGCGCGTGTTTAAAATAGCCTTTTTATAGTTTGGCTCTCACGAGTATGTCTTTGAGCGACCGCCCTCTTTTATAAGATACGAGGGCCGGTTCTAGTTTGTAGATTTCGCTCAGTAATGGTTGTTGTTCTATTAAATGCCAGTTTTTCATGAGAATTTGCTTTAGGTTAGGCACTGATGGTTGGTATTATGTGACAAAAGGCAAGATTCGTTGGTTTGTCTTTGGTTTCTGTTGAAGGGCTAGTTTCCTGTCTTTGAAGTTCACCTCTGAGAGGGTTGTATTAATGAGATCCTCTGGGTAACCCCTCTGTAGCAGATGCGCTTTGAAATTTGTAATTTTCTCTTCGAATATTATTGTGGAAGAGTTTGTTCAGAGGAGTCGGAGGGCTTCCCCCTTTAATGAAGCCTTTTTTTAACTCCTTGCGGGTGACAGGAACCAAAATGGGTATACTGAAATGTCTCAGTTGGTTTGAAATGAGTACGCACATCAAGGGTTGCGTCTCTTTTGAATCTTTCCCCTTTGTAGATGTAGGTGTCCAGGAATGCTGTTTCCTTATCGGAAATTTCAGCCGTAAATTTGATCGTAGGGTGATGATTGTTTGCTTGTTCAATGAAATGTTCTATTCTGTCTCTGTTTGTAGTCCAGAGCGAGCAGGGGCACCCAACGAAAATATAGTTCAAAACCACTTAAACATAGCATTGTTGAACGTATTTTAGTATTTAAACGGTAGATAGGCATATTTTTATCCCCTAAAAATTTTTCATCTGTTCGGATTTCCTAGCTGAAAGTCTAGTGATCCGAAAATTATAGGGATCAAAACTTATCTTTTCGAAAAATTCAGCCAGAAAATAGGCTCCCGAAGATTCTAGGTGACCTTTTTAGGGTAAAAATCCCTTAAAAATGGACAATTATACCATTTTTTAGATGTTCGAAAATCCTAGGAGAGGCAGGCAAGCAAGAAATTTTACAACAAATGTTCCGAAAATTCGAGATGTCAAATCGTCTACCGAACAGATATTTTCCAAAAATTGCCGTTGGGTGCCCCTGAGCGAGAAGATGTCGTCTATGTAACGTTTCCAAACGAGCGGTTTAAAAAGGCTTTGGCTAAGGATTTCCGTCTCTACCTTGTTCATGAATATATTAGAAAAGGCGACTGCCATTTTCGTGCCCATGGCCGTACCATGTGTTTGAAGGCAGTTTTTTCCATTAAACTGGAAAGAATTTTCTTGGAGAATTAGCCTGAGCGCTCGTTTTAGTAGAATATTTGGTATGCTCTGCATACCGTGTCTATTCCCTCTTCTTGCGGTATATTTGTATACAAGCTCGTAACGTCCATTGAAACAAGTATGACCTCCGCTGGCACTTTCGTATTTTCTATGAAATTAACGAAGTCGGTAGTATCTTTAAGATACGACTTTTGTTGTTGTGCTATCGGCTGAAGGAGTTTGTCGACAAATGATGATAATTTCTCCGTTGGGCCATCACACCCTTATACTTCAAGGGCTACTGATCGTTGTATTGGTAGTTCCCATTCAGATTTGACAAGGTAAGGATGGGATTCATTGTTTTCCCCTCGAAATATGTACATTAGACGCATTCTTCTTGCAAACTGATCAAAGTCACGCAAGAGTTGTTGCCTGATTTGTGTTTGTTTTGTAACGGGTGTTGGAATGAATTTAAGCCCTTTTGCCAGTAAATTAATCTGGTCATTTGTAAGTTCTTTGTTTGAGAGTTTTTTTTATGTGTTTTTTTGTTCGCCTCTATTGTGATAGTTTTTCTGGCGTCTGACCTTTCTGCGCTCTTTGCGCTTATTAGTTGCTAGCCGTTTGGCTTTTAAAATTTGTTTTTTGGCCCCATGTTTGTGGTGGGAGTCAGAGAATACACATGTGTACTTTTGAACTTCTTTATTTTCAATTGCTCCTAGTTTTTCCATCATATTGCCGAACTGGGCGATTTGTGCCAAAGTGTTTTACTGTTTCGATCGTTACGTAAGGGGTACCCAACGACAATTTTCGGAAAAATATCTGTTCGGAAGACGATTTGAGATCTAGAATTTTCGGAACATTTGTTGTAAAATTTCTTGCTTGCCTGCTTCTCCTAGGATTTTCAAACATCTAAAATATGGTATAATTGCCTATTTTTCACGGATTTTTACCCTAAAAAGGTCACCTAGAATTTTCGGGAGCCTTTTTTCTGGCTGAAATTTTCGAAAAGGTAAGTTTTGATCCCTATAATTTTCGGATCACTAGACTTTCAGCTAGGAAATCCGAACAGATGAAAAATTTTTAGGGGATAAAAATATGCCTATATCTACCGTTTAAATACCAAAATACGTTCAACAATGCTATGTTTTAGTGGTTTTGAACTATATTCTTGTTGGGTGCCCCTGTTACGTTGTTTTCAGCTTGCGCTGCGCGCGCTGTTTCAATCATACTACAGTTCTTAGTGTTCAGTGCTATAGCCGGTGCGGCTCGCTTTCCTTTCACGGTTTCGGCCTTAAAACGGCCGATTTCTCGTTGATGGAATCGTATAATCGCATTGAGTGTTT